TCGGTTTGTTAGGACTCACATGTTGGTTCCATCTGGACTCCCCTGAGGTTAGCGTATGTTAGGTCTGGGAAAAGATGCAAGTGCAGGCAAAAGCATAAAGTGGAAGGAGACCAAATAATCTAAGTAATCATTTTAGAGACACACATTTTCTAATTTGAATAATTGCTTGGCTGAAACACTCGACAATCATTAACAAACAAGTGAAAACAGGGTTATACATATTTAGATGATTGCTAATGTTGATTAAGGTGTGTCTGTAGTGAAGCTGAAACTTGCAGGCCTTGGTGCACATGACCTAGATTACTTGATGGCACATATATTCAATAGGAAGTTGAAAGTAAGAAAGACTGTCTTTGGTTAAAAATGTGTCAGGGAAATTCCTTTGTGACTCACACTCCGTTGGTGCCGGCTTGTTATGAATTTGGGCTGGTGTAGGGTTTGGTAAAATCCACCACCCTCTGGTCTCGTCCTCACCCTGTGTGTGAGTGTCTGCGGACGTGTGGATGGGAAGGGATGGAGAGTGGGCGTGGGAAGACAGGTTTTTACCCCCGCCCTTTATAGTGAGATATAGTCTGGGGTGATGACACTGAGTCATCCTTGCTTTCCAAGCTCTCCTATCCTGCCAGTGTTACACACACACACTGTACAGTGTGCTGTAGGTCTACACAGTCCCCTACAGGCTTTTTTTTTCTAAATCTGGGTCAAGACCCAGTTAAGAGTAAAGGGAAGATTAAAATGTGCCTTGAATATTCAGAGAAAATTGGCATGGAAACCCATTGTGTTTGTTTTTTAACAGATCTGAAGCCTTCCTGCAACGTAAGGATGAAATACACTGTAGCCTGTAGATATGTCATTTTTCATGCCAAGGGAGAGAGTTGCATCATTTGTACAGTACAGTACTCCAAATGATGCAACTCATGCTGCAGATACGCAAACACAATAGTCTAAAGAATCTTTCTGGGTTCACATGGAAAAATATGTTGAAAATATGTACAGTCAACCACAGTCTTCCTAACTGTTGCCAGCTTTACTCAAACAGTACTGTGCTGCCATTATATTGTGCGTAGTTCTGTACTCCAGTGGTGCTAACTGTAGGCCTCTTCTACAACATGTTGTTTATTCATTCAGTTCATAGAAACAGAGTTGTCTTGTTGGTATGTCAGTGTGTCTGCGTGTTAGTCGGTCCACCACTTTGATTCAAACCGAAATATTTCAACAACTATTACATGGATTGCCATTAAATTTAGTAGACATTTGTGGTTTCCAAACAATGATTTCTGATAACTTACTGATGGTTACCTGACTTTTCTTCTAGCACCACCACAAGGTTCACATTTGTGGTTTTTGAGTTAAACGTCTGAACAATTATTGGATGGATTGCTATGAAATGTGGTAGATGAATTGTAATAACATTGGTGATCCACTGACCTTTCTTCTAGCAACATCATCTGGTCAAAGTCAACATTTTAGTTTGTTTGTGATCAAACAATCTCAGAAGCCATCTGTCACCTGACAACTACATGACAGCTAATGTTTCTGGCGAAGCCAGTAGATATCCAGAAAATGGATAAGGGGTATCTGGGCCAAGACTTACTCTGCAGTCTGATTAGCAACTTGCTACGTGAGGATGACGAGGAAGACACATTTTTGGCTAATCTCTATGGACAGATATCTGCATATGAATGTAGATACATTTTTAAAAGCGGATACAATGCTAAGTCATTGTCAGCCGAAAGCCAATGGTTTCTGAGATTGGATTTGATGCCAAAATATTGGTCTTTTGCCTACAGATTTTGCATTCACTCACAGATATCTGTTAATAGAGATGAGCGACTAACCTGCAAAGTGGTACTTTGTGTTTAGGTCCAATTAGCAAATATAAGCATGCACACATTAACACATTAAACATGCTAAACATTACCTGCTATACATAAGCATGCTTGCATTGTCATTGTGAGGACGTTAACATGCTACAGTTAGCATTAATCTCAAAGCACAGCCTCACAGAGCCTCTAACATGGCTGTAGACTCTTAAGCTTATTTGACACAAAAACTTGTTGTAACATCTGGACTGTATTACATAAGAACACACATTCCTGGCACATACATTTCTATTCTAGAGTAAGATCTCCTGGGATTGAATGTTTCATTTCTTAGACAGATCTACAAACAGTAGAAGTTAATTGCCCCAGGTGAGAAACATTGTGAGGTAAAATGTACTGTCATGCTATTCATAACTTTATAACTTAGATCATGATTGTAAAGCTGTACATACACTGAGGCTAAGCCAATGTCAATATATGTTTGGCTGTGCTGCCACAGCTCATTGAGTGAGTGAAATATCTAAAATAACTGAGTCACAACTATGTCACTAATGTAAGTAATGGGAAATCAAAATGTGACCTATATGAATCATACAAATCAGTAAAAAAAAACAACACATATTTGTGTTACTATCAGCTTTGTGCAAGGCAGAACATATACGCTCTATGCTCTGCACTCGGTAGTCGGACTGGAGAAATGGTGGTGGACCAGTCTCTCTGTGGCTTTGAGAGCACAATACCCAAAAACAAGAGTGAGAGAGATGCATCGTCAGCCCACTTTGATTATTCTCCAGCCCACATCGTCCTCCTCAAGATCCTCAATACCAGTCCAACTGTGTGTTTTGTTTTTGTGCAGAAATCCATAAGACAGAAGACAATAGGCGAAATACAAGCACAATTGGGTTTGGTTGGTTGGCTATTTAGCTATATCAGGTGCCTTTGGTTGAAATATGTTCCAATTTTTCAGTAAACTTTCAAAATGTTGACCTCATTGTTATGCGTGAATGGTTATGATTATTGACAAGTTAGTACTTAGAATGAACAAATTAGAGACTAACCACCACTGTAGACCATTTTTCTTGCACAAGGATGAAATATTGGTTGTGTATTTCTGATGTACTGTATTATCAGAATCAGAATCAGAAATACTTTAATAATCCCAGGGGGAAATTATTTAATTAATTAATTATTAATTATTTACTAGTGGCTAGCTATATAGTATACTATTATATAAAATTATAATGAATAATACTAACATTATTACTATTAGCATTATATATTTTATTTAATGTTATAATTTTAAACTAATTTAGTTACTCATCAGGTTGTGGAGGTTGCCAGTGTCATTGTGCCAATATGTGCTCTTTCTAGCCAGCCTCCTCCTTAGAGCAACATGTTCCCCTTGTTCTATTTTACATCTATTTTACTAAAGTTGTTGTTATAAATATTGTTCAGTAATCTTGTTTACATAAATCGTGGAGGGGTTGTGTGGGTGGTGGTGTATCGCTTATCTTTTGTCCTTTGCCTGATATTTCAGATTTTTTTGCATGCTGTGGGAAGCCTGACACTAAACATACAGATACTTAGGCAAGATACATCGGCAAGTTTTTCTTTTTCGGTATGTATGTTTTGTAGACAGCAGGTTGTGAGAGAACATGCACAGACGGTTACCCTGCCAGAATGTATGTAGGCGATGGAAACTTTGTGTGTTTGAATAATTGTCTAATATTTTACAGGTAGACAGTTACCCTCAAGGAGCACTCCTGCCCTGCAGCCCAATATCAAAGCAAACGTGCTGCATAATCTGCTTGTCTTTTAACTGGGAAACCGACCTTAGTGCCCGGAGAGTACAATCATGCACAGAAGGAAGCTTTTCTAGGCCAATCAGCTCAGCTGAACTCAAACAGAAGGTATTTCTTTGAGAGGTCTCTTACCTTTACTCCATGCCTCATTTCATTTTGTTCGGGGCTGTCACTCATGGGAATAGACTTTTAGCTTAAAACTAAGTAGCAAAAGATAAAAGTTACCATTATGCTCAGAAGTTAAATTAATAGAAAATGTTATAACAATTTATATAATAACATTTTCATCAAACCATATCTGCCAGGATTCCTGCTTGAAAACAAAGGCAACTTGTGACAGTTTGGTGTGAAATCTTTGAACTGTAAAGAAGGTCAAGACACAGATGATCATGAGATCGAAAGGCCATAAAGCTGCCAGTGAACTGTCTGTTTATGAACCTATTATCACAGTCTATACATGGCACATACACTAGTGTGTGACTCGAATCTTTGACCAGCAGAAAGATTCCTCCTATGTAGACTGCTGACTGTGAATACTGGCACAGTGCCTAGAGAAAACATGTCTCATACTGTTGTAATGATAACAGAGTTCAGGGAACACAGTGGAGATCTGAAAATCCCTTTAAAGTAGCACATGAGTGAGGACAACAAAGGTCCTCACAGAAATGACTGAGACCGTTTCTTTAGGTAAATAGTTCCTGATTGTTATTTGGCAGTTTTAGTAACTGAAAGTAAGTAACTGAGCTGACTTACTTAACCGGCTATAACATTAAAATGCTGCTTTCAAGTTAATGATTCAATAATATTAATATAATAATAATAATAATAATATAACACTATGAAAGATTCTGAATATTTATTCCATTTTTGACATTAACATACATCTTGAAACCTTCTATTGAGTTCATAATTTAGGATAACACACACTATAAAAAAAATTACAAGAAACAAAACCAGACATCTCAAATTCATTTTTGAATTGCTAATTGAATATTGCCAAAGGAAAGAAAAAGAAACAAAAAATTTTCAAAACTCAGCCCTTTTTTTTTTTTGGCTGGCTCGGGTGAGTCGCAGACCAGAGCGTAGGTCTGTGAAAAGGCCAGTGAGTGACCGTGATGGTGTGTCATGTGTGACAAAAAAAGGCAACTGGGGCCTTGTTTGAGGAAGGAAGTCATAGTACTTCAAAATAGATTTTGGTTTGCTCGTATGGTTTTTATCTTTTAATCCTGCTTTCTTTTCTCTCTCCCTGTCTTTCTCTCGCTCTCTGTCTCCTTTTTTCTCTCTCTCTCTCTCCCTCTCTCCCTCTCACTCTCTCTCTCTCTGTCTCTCTCCCTCTCTCACTCTCTC